CAGGCGAAAGGGGCAGCTGAGACGCTCTGTGAGGCAGCTACCGTCCCATTGCCCTTGGCCTAGCGCTCGAGGCGAGGCAGCTTTGCAGGGAGTCCCACAAAGGACCCTGGAAGATTCCCACTGCCGTCCCTTGTTAAGTTTTAGCATTTATCTGGTTATTGGCTGCTGGAGTAACATGGGTAATCATTATTTTTAGTCTGAATCGGAGAGTTTAACCCAGAAGAGGGAGTCTGTCTCTTTCCGTCTCTCCCTCTCTCTCTCTCTCTTCCACAGGATATTTCCAAGTAAAATCCTCTTCCTGGCTGAAGAAAAACACTGGAATGCATCCATACATTACACATACGCTACTACTGCTCACCTGAAGGAAAGAAACTCCTTTGCGTGTTTTAGATTGCTTAAGGGTGGAAGTGTAGGTTAAGGCTTCAGACTTTATGCGCTGAGGCATTAAAGCTTTTAAAAAGCTCAGGGCTTCAGCAGAGAAGGAAACAGGAAGGAAGGAGGAAGGTTTTTAAAGAAGGCAGAACTTAATATATATAAGTACACTGAAAGAAAAAAAAAACGAAGAGGAAGGATGGGGAAGGACGGGAGAAATACTGTATCTGCTTCAAAAAAACAAAAAGAAAAAGAAAAAAAAAGAAAAAAAAAACCCTGCAAATATCTGCCTATGGGATTACCACAGAACTCGGGTCCTGGGGGAAAAAAAATCCACCAATGACCATTCTATCTTGCGAAATAAAGCAACAGCTAATTCTCCTAGCCTCCTGTCGGATATCCTGCATTTTAATGCATTGACTTACTGTCATCTTACCAGTGGATGCTCATTCTGGAGCTCAATGAGCCCGCTCGCCATTTCCAGGGCCACGTAAAGCCCTCAGCCCACAAAAGTTTAACATTAKGGGCGATTGAGCAGTTTTATGTTAAGTAGTAAAACTGGAAAACATTTGTCCTTTTCAAACCAATTATTCTTATAACAGAGACCACTAGTCAAGGATGTGGAAAGGTACGAWTAAAGTGTTGGACATATATAATCATATAGGTACATTTTATCCCAGCTTTGCATACTCTGGGCTATCTGTGGTTACGTATTTTGGTTCTAATTGCCTTTAACCATATTTTATGAGTCAGAAAAGTAGTATTTATGTAGTTAGCTAGAGATACGTTCTTGTGTATATCTGTCTGAGTGGAGATGATGAAAAGTGACAAATGATGCAATTAGCTCTCCATCCTTACATAACATGTTTACGAAGGCATTTTAAACCACACACCATCTTCACACTATCTTAACTTTCAAGTCTGCTTGCTCTACGAAATGGATTTGACAGTCCTATTCATGACCATCTCAATAGGAGTGCACAGAAGAGACAAACGTTAGCAAGTATGAATCTGTTACTTACAAATGTACCCAGAGTGCGAATTCCAAATAAATCTATTTCCCTCATACCTCCTTAAAACACTTAATCTCTACATACTTGTTATCCATCAATTCTGACACTGCTCAGTCAAGGGAGAAAGCATCTGGAACCGTTTATCAATTAAAAAAGAAAATGTCATAACCGGTTTGCCCTGAGCTAATTTAAAATATTGTGATGGTTTCTCGTCAGACACTAATGGYTCTCAGTTCTCCCCTCACTTAGGGCTCTCCCTGACTCCCTTTTTCCTGCTCTGAGCGAGGATCCGGCTCTCGGGGTCGTGGGTGCCTGGGGAAGCCCCGTGCGGGGAGCGAGCCCCGGGCCGCGCACATGTCTGGGGCCGTGGGGAAGTGGAGAAAGAGGAGGAGAATGGGGACAAAACCGYGCAAGTTCCGCGGACCTCGCAGGCTACTCTTAAAGGTTCAACGCCCGTTTGTGCTCTGCATTGGCAGCTTGAGCCTGTCCCTCGAGCGGTGACCGAGGCTCCTGCATCTTGTCGGGAATATGAGCCATATTGGACCAGACAAGAAGGACTTGTCAGGCGTTGGGGCAATTTCTCAAGTGTGTCAGCTTYCCCCTCCATCTCTTCCCCCATCCTCCCCTTTCTACCTGGGTAGAGTAAGGAATTCGCCCCCACCACCCTCCCCAAGATTGCTCTCGAGACTCAAGGCCTGGATAAACTAGAGAAGGCAGGATTGCACAAGAAACAGAAATATCCTGAGCTGAAGCCCAGATGCCAGGGAAGAACCTTTGCTGAGACAGTTCTATCTTGTTTTAAGGGAAGAGGTAGCGAAGGACCACGGAGTCTTGGGTGTCAGCTCCAGGGRGAATCAGCATCAAGAGGTGGGCTGCTTGGTAGAGTGTAAATCTCCTATATCTGAGTAGTTTCTGTGCTTCTGCAATCCTGTCTGCAGCACTCAGCCCCCTCAGCAGCCTGCTGTAGAGAGGTGACATGTTGTGGGAAGGAATCCCAGCTTCTTCCCTCGCACAGAGMCGGGTCACCCTTCCTTGATGGCCCTCCTTCCAAGGCTCAAATAAAGGGAGTCGGGCATTAGGTCAGACCCTGCCCCAGAGCAGAAACAGGGAGCGCTGCGCTCTTGGCCAAAGACTGCAGGCAAAGTCACCAGGGGCCGGAGCGGCCCCGCATCTCGGCGCTGCGCCGCGGGCTCGCTGCGCGCCGCCCTKCCTGGGGCCCCGCACGTCGGGGCTCGCCGAGGGTCAGCAAATCCCTGCGACCGGCACAGTCCCGGTCGGTCTGTTCAGAGAACCGTTTTATGCACTGTATTCTGCCTTGTTTTGGTATAAATATACCCGCACAGCAAGGCGCTTCTCCGTATTTCTGCCTTTGCCGGAGACAAGGGCTGCTGTGAACTTGACATGCAGAGCAGTTTTCCCCAGGAAAACTGGGGCTGCTTGTGTTGTGCTCTTTGACTTGGGGCCAAATCTTCCACTTCCCTCGAGTCGTGTTCCGTGTAAGGAACAGTTTCTGCCCCGCTCTGGAACTCCCGAGAGAGCAAAATCTGCTCCGACCTCTGCCTCTTCGGAGAATTCCCTTCCCTGATGTGGCAGCTAGGAACTTCTCACTAGGTGCCCCGGGCTGGGAGGGAATGCCTTAAATCGCCGAGACAAGAGGCTCCAAGTGCTAACCTTTAGCTCCAGGGCAAGAGAAGTGRAAGGGATTAATCTGAAAGTAGCAAGATTTCTTAAGAAAAAGAGGAAGCAGAAATGGAGAGGACCGAGGAGTCCTCCTGTGMATCCGTCCTAGCCATCACACTTGGCAGGCAAGAATCAGCAGCCAGCGAGACCACGGCTGACACAGGCTGGACCCGAGGCTCTGGTGTCCYGGCAGAAGGCACTGCTGTTTAGCAAGGGCTGCTTCCAGAAAYACCCCCCCTAGTAAAAAACATTTCCTCAGAGGGAAGAGAAGCGGACCCTGAATGGCTCGAAAACAGGCTCGCCCTTTGTTTCTGTTTGCTCTCCCTTTGCCGCTCAGGAGGACTTCCTTATTCCAAGTTTCCCGATTAATGGGGATTCAGCTACCAGAAGAGCAAGGGCCGGCGACTAGGTCTGTCGCTCACTTTTCATGACCTAGAGATACTCTAGGACAAGCAAATCATATGCTTATTTTAAATAGAATATTTCATTCAGCACCTCAAGATTAAGGTATTCCTGTCAGATAAGCTGTCAGTCACTAACTACTTAGACACCACATTGTGGAAGGCTGGTATCCCTGGTAAAGATGATACATATCATGTAAACCCCATCAACAAGATCAAAGTCTTCTTCTTTAATAAGATCCAATACATGTCAAACCTCATTCCAATCAAATCGTCCGTAAATGAATTCAAGATGAATATGTCATAGAATAATGTGACAGTGCAATCACATGGGGTCAGGGGTTGTTGTTTCAATGAGAGAGTCGTCAAATATTAATTCTAGAACCTCCAAATGAATAGACATTGAGCAGGATTAAGCAGCTGCTGGTGGGGCGTTGTGCCGCTGATTTGTGTTTATGCAAGTACGTTAAACACTAAGCTGAAAAAAAAGTCTCCTTTGAACTGAAAAAAAAAATCCACATATTTTAACTTACTTGACTTTTCCAGGGTGTTTCTGTGAAGTCGTTTTCTTTTCCTCATTACAAGGGGAGTCTTGTGCCTCATTTCCTGACTTTGTTCCTGTTTGGAAAGAGGGTTAGAAAGTTAAGAGCAAAAACATTTGTATGAGATATGAAATGAGTATGGTACGAAATGATTGGAACAGCGTGGAATCAAAAAGAAAAAAGAAGTATCAAAGGGTTAAATAGCGAGGGTGGGGGAAGACGAGGTTTCTCCGGGAGGAAACTGGAGGCTGTCTCCCCAGTAAACCAGCACATGTTTTATGGAGCCGTGAAGTTTTCATGGCTGATTTAGGAAAAAAAAAAATATGAAAGGACATCTTTTCAATTCTTCTTTGATCTGACATTCACCTTCTGGCAGGCTATTGTACGGCGGGTTTTTACCAACTGGACTATATTGTTTACAGACCCTTCCCTTCTGAAATTAAATTTCGGACTCTGCGAGCCTCCAGCGCAAGTTGTTGTCTCAGCAAGGATTAGTATAGTACCACCCTGACGCTTCTCCCTGCCTATAATTTTCAGCTTGCTCTTTGCACTCTTCAAGACAGAGTCCTTCCTCTGCTGCTGATGGAAGTTTGCACATCTTTCTTTGAGCGGCAGCAATAACCCTGAATGTATGTCTGACTTCTGGCATAAAGTACCATCCCGAATTTTTGCAGATGTCTTTGAAATTCTCGGGGATTTCGCAATACTGAAAGCAGGACAGGAATCTGATATGAGTTTCTTCTAATGAGATTATTATTATTACTATTACTGTTATTATTATTGGGACACTAGGGCTGGGAAATAAAGAATTATACTAACACAAATAATTGATGGTATTAATTATGAAACTTCATCAGGGAATCACAAGCATACTCTATCACAAATAATTTGATGTCTTCAATATTTTCACAGCTGTGATGAAAATTACTGCCGAAATAAAAAGAACTAGAGAAAACCCTTAGGAATTTATATTTACTATTCAGCTTCCATTCATGCTCAGATGTTTATCAAACCGGAGCAGCAGACAYTGCCCCGTTAGTGAGAGATTTGCAGGAGCTGTGCTTTATTGGGTAGGATGAGAGGCTAGAGGAGTTATGAGCGCTCAACTCCCAAGCATTCGCCAAAACTTGTTGAAAGTGGACAAAAAAAAAAATCGCTGCATTTAATATTTCAAATGGTTACCAGATGACACGAAAAAAAAAAAAAAAAAAAAAAAAAGTAGGCAAAACAGTCGTGAATAAAACAGTCGTGAATCTGGGAGTAAATATTGGCTAAAACTCTGGCTCGACCTCACACGCCTTTTCCCTGCGCGCAGCGCCGCTGGCGGGGTGGGAGAGGGAGGATGCGCCGCTCGTGCGCTAGACGCGGCGAAGGGACGCGCAGGTGGAGCACAAGCGGAGCGCGCAGTTCCGCGCCCGCGGAGTGCCCTTGAATCCCCCTCGCCCGCCTCTCTCTCACTGCCTTGCACCGGCGCAACCTCCGCGGGAGCGGCCGGCGACCTCTGGTGGGTTGGGGGGTGCCGTCCTGGGGGGTGCTCGCCCCTTGCGGGCTTTTCGTGGTCGCGCAGGCAGCCAGCGAGCGCCCAGCGATGGCCAGAAGGTTTCGGGGTAGAATTAAAGTTGCTCGGCTCCGGGGCGAGCAGCACTGAGCCCAGCTCACCAAGGAGTCTCGGCGAGGGCTGGGGGCGGCCGCGCTCCCCCGCGGCTGACGCACACAGGAGGGGGTGCCCCGGGGCGCCCCGTGCCGACTGCGCTGCGCCGCTGCCTGCGGTGGGTGCGTGGGGCAGCCACGGGTCAGAGGTCACCCCCGAGGGTGATTTGGGAGTTTTGCCCCCTGTACAGCCCCTGAACAGCCCCCTACCCCCTGCGAGGGCTCCGMGAGGAGCAGCACCCCTGGCTGCCACTGGCCAGGGGGTGGGCAGGTGGGCGGGCGGAGGCAGCGGGACGGGTGCTGGCTCTGTCCCTCCCGCTCGCCGCTATAAAGCGGRGCTTGCGAGGCGCAGCGCGCTGTCCCCCCCTCCCACCCCTGTGGGGCAGCGCCGCGGGACGGACTCCTTACGGGGGGCGCCTCTATCAGCTCCCTCCTGCCCCCCCTGTCCCTGCCCCCTCGGCGGGACCCAGCCCTTCCCCACCGAACAAGCCTGTCGGGGCTGCCGCCCGATCCGCGGCGCTCCGCGGCTCGAGCCACGGGGGCGGGCCTCCCCCGCGGCCCGGGAGGGCGGGCGTGGAGACCCGTGTCCTGCGGAGGCTGCCGAAGCCCTCTGGACGGAGCCCAAGGGCCCCTCTCTCCTCCCGTCCCCGCCCGTCGCGGCGCGTCGCGACGGCCCCACGTGGGCGCGGGGAGCCGGGACTCTGCCCCTCGGCCCCGCGGGGCTCCCGCCCGCCCCCCTGGGGCGGCCCAGCCTCCTGCCGCGGTCCCCGGGGGCTGCGGCTCCCGGTCAGCCCTTGGGGCAGGCGGTGGGGCCAGGCAGCCGCCCTGGTGCCAAAGCACCCCTTTCTCCCAGGCACTTACCCCTGCGACCTGTTGAAGCTTTCCCCTCATTTCTGAACTGGCAAAAATAAATAATTAAAAAAAAGAAAAAAAAAAAAAAAAAAAAAAAAAA